GGTGGATTTTCCTGGAAGAGAGTGTATTTGTCAGACTGAGAAACGAAGCGGGTGTGTATGTCGACAGAGGCCATCACTTTGATAGAGCAGAGTCAGGCCAAGTAATGTGATGAACATACGAAGGCCTGAATTTTGCTAACAGAATTCATCAGCATATTTCTTAACATATTCATTAATAGATACCTTTTGTTTTCATTATCCGTCTTAGGGGCATGTTATCTACCTGACACACTGGCCAAAGGGTTTGCATTTGCCTTCACTTGTCAGCCACTTGGTAGAACCGGTGCCATGTGCCTGTGTTCACCGATGTGGTCTCTGCCTCCAGTGTGGAGACTTTTCCTCTGAGTAGAACAAGAATAGGTCTGAATAGGTAGGCTACCGGCTTCATTTGTCTTATGCTACAATTCTCTTTTGAGATGGCCAGGTAAAGGGTTGTCAATTTACTGTAAAAGATGCAACAAGTTAGCTAAGGGGGAACAAGAAAAGGGCTTGCTTGACTTGCTTTCTTCTACGGATATATCAGATGTGTCCTTCCAGCTACCAATCATATAACGAAACTGCATGTGCTCTGTAACACTGATAGAAAACAAGCTTAACCCTCTGAAGGTTGGGAGAAGGGAAACCTGCTGGTGATGAGCCTGTAGGGCCTAGTAGTTGCACCTGTTTGCATGACCCCAGTCACTGGCTAGTGGGCTTTGCCTGATTTGCGACAGAACACTGTTGCAGAGGCAAGATTTTCCCACTGAAGAGATAGTCTTTTTCAGTAATAACAATTATAAAGTCACTTCCCTACTCAGCAGCTGTTTCTACCTTCATCTAGCCAATTTTCCCCTTAGCGCTTGTCCTTGCCAAAAACAAAGGTGACTTCTGATGTCACCTGAACTTCATTCAGGACAGCTTCCTCATGTATAATGAAATGGTCTGCTTCAATAGCTAACTCTCTGACTTGCTAAGCATGCTGGGCTGACCGTGAGGTACTTAGATATATTTGAGAACATATGGCTAGACAGAATCTCCCTTCATCTTCCAGGGCTGGGGGCACTCTATTCACTATCTCTCTCAAAACCCCACCCTCTTGGTCTTGGGTATGGAGAGTTTCAGTTGTCTTTGAGGGGACGTGTGGATGGATGGGAAAAGATATATCATGGAGGCAAGTCTGGATCTAAGCTGGAAAGGTTTCATAAAGAGCCACGGTTAAGGGAAGTCAATTGCATCCTTCAACCCATATTATCTATTTACATGTTGTTGTTAGGTACTGTTGAGTTGACCTTGACTTGGGGGACCCCAATGCACAGGTTGACAAAACATTACGCAGTATTTGCCATTCTCACTGGGACTGGGGCACTGATCTACAGGGTTCTCAATGGCTGATTTAGAGTAGACCATCCAGCCTTTCTTCCTACACAGGTTTAGTCTGAAAGCTCCACTGAAAGGTGTTCAGCACTGAAGCAACATGTAGACATCCGCTGACAGGTGGATGGTGGCTGCACATGAGGCATACCTGGGTCTTCATATGAAAGACAAGAACCTTACCCCTGAACCGCCAGTGCCTCGATGCCCATGTGGTTGTTGTTGTTGTGAGTCATGGAGGTAGTTAGTTTATTGCGCTAACCTGGCCGATAAACACACGTGGGATTAATTGAAGGGCAGAGAGATAAATGGCTCTGTGAGCCCCGCCTCTCTTGTCTCTTGCTCTTTGGTCATCGGACCAGTGTGCGTCTGCCTTGTTCTGTGCCTCAATTTGCATGTTATACTACCTGTGGGACACCTAACCCATGGACTATGTTGCTGTAACTTGAGGTTCCTTCAAGACCAGCTTCGCACACCATTGGAATTTACATCTCTTGAGCTGGGGACTGTCGGACCCTGTCATCTGGCTGACTGTTGTTGACCTCCCTTGCTGTTTGCTGCCTGTGCGCGCAAAGCCTGAATTGCTCTACAGAGGACTACCCGGCGGCCCTCAAGACTGGAAAGACTGCCAGTGTCTCACAACTGTCTCAACAGAGTGAGTTTCCCTGAGCCATTTGTACTGCTTTATAATTTAATTAACTGTTTATTTCTTGTTATGAATAGCTATCTATATAAATATATACATATTTATTAGCATTCTGGTTTTGTTTCTCTAGAGAACCCTGTCTAACACTTAACCACTCTAGAGAGCCCTGTCTAACACTTAACCACTCCTCGGTCCACGTGCTCCCTGACCTACCTCTTCTCTTTTTCTTTCAAGCTTTCATTAAAGACTTGCATTTGTGTATGTGTGTGCCACCATCACCACTATTTAATTTAAAAAATGTTTCACATCTCCAACAGAAACTCTTGTTTCCATTAAGCCAGTGGTGCTCAACCTTCCTAATGCGGCGACCCTTTAATACAGTCCCTCATGTTCTGGTCACCCCCCAACCATAAAATTACTGTTGTTGCTACTTCATAACTGTAGTTTTGATACTGTTATGAATCAGGCAACCCCTGTGAAAGGGTCGTTCGATCGCCAAAGGGGTTGCGACCCACAGGTTGAGAACCGTTGCTCTAAGCAGTAACTGCAAATCTCCCACTCTTTTCAGCCCAAGGTTACCACTAATCATTATCATTATCCATTTGCCCTTCTAAATCATTCATATACATTGGGTCATGTAATATTAGTCATTTAGTGCCTGATTTATTTCACTAAGCATACTCATTTCTAGGTTCACCCACGTTGTAGCATGTATCAGAACTTCATTTCTGTGTATGGCTGAATAACACTTCAGTGTAAGCACATCTCACAGAGGCCCTGGAAGTGCCAAGTGTGGGAGGTTTGAGTCCTCCCAGAGGCTCCTAGGAAGAACAGTCTTCCCATGCACTTCTGAAAACCCTGTGGGACATAGTTCTATATTGACAGACATGGGATCCCCATGAGCCACTGGTGATATATCACATTTTGTTTACTCGTTCACCTGTGGCTTCACCTTTGGGTTGTCTCCACCTTCTGGCGGTAAAGTTTGTTTTAACGATTTCAGACTTCCATCACTCTGCTCACAGGAAATGAGATGACTGGACTCAGGATTCAAGGGAAAGAGCTTTGTGCATTCTGGGTCCCCATGGAGATAGCGATGGAAACTGGTGAGAGTACCCGCAGCGATCGGATCTTGGGGAAGAGTAGTGGGAGGCAGCAGCCCTGCTTTTTCTTTCCCTGTAGGATTCTCACCTTCTTTTCATATTTGGCTATTTAAAAAAAGAAGTGGGTTTCCCTCACCTACCCACCTAAGGACCTGTCCTATCAATGTAGACCATGAATTGTTCTGTTTTTTTTTAAAGTTCCAATGAGATTCCTGAGAGACATATATAAAAATTTTTTCTTGAGAATTCCAATCCTAGCTACATATCCAAAAGACTTGACCACTGATGTCCAAACAAAAGATTGTATATAAATATTTATAGTCCCATGAGTCACAATAGCTACAAATGGAAACAATCTGAATGTCCATCAGCTGACGAATGAATATGCAAACTATGGTATGTCGATCTAACCCATTGCCCTCAAGTTCGTTCTGGTACGTAGCGGCGCCATAGGACAAAACATAACCGCCCTGTAAGGTCTCCGAGGCCGGCACTCTTTTGTGGAAGCAGACTGCCACATTCTTTCTTCTGTAGAGCTGCTGGTGGTTCAACGTTAGCAGGAGAGTACATTAACCCCTAGGCACCTAGATAGAGCTCCTAATGACATGTATCTATAGTAGAATAGTGTTCAGCAATAAAAATAAATAATGACACATACTCTCGCTGATACATACTATACAGCATGACAACATTCTACTACGTGAAGTCAGTCAAACACAAAAAGGTAATTATTGTTTGATCCCACTTTTAAGAAATACCTAGAATAAGCAAATGCATACAGACCAAAGTTTATTTGAGGCTACCAGGGGTGAGTGGGAGAAGGAAGAGAGACATTATTGCTGAAAGGACACAGACTCTCTGTTATAAGACAACCCAAATCTACTGAAGTCAAGCTAATTCCAACTCACGGGGACCCTAGAGGACAGGGTAGACCTGGCCTCCGGAGTTCTGCGCTGTCAATCTCTGTGGAGGCAGGCTGCCTTCTCTGTCTCCTGTGGTGGGGCTGGTGACCTGTCAGCCTTTGCCCAACACCTCACCTACTCTGTTACCATGGCTCCTTGAGTCTGTTGTGAATGAGGAAAAAAAGTTGGGAATGGATAGTGGCGATGTGTAGTTACTCACAACCCGGTGAGTATAATTAATATCACTGAATTGTACATGTAACAGTGGTTGAAATGGCAAGTGTTTTATTATATATGCAACTATTATAATATCACATATTATAGTTACATATTTTTCCTACAACAAATTTTTTGAATGAATGAAACAATGATACAGGCTACAACATTGATGACTTTTGAAAAAATGATGCTAACTGCAGAAGCCAGTCACAAAATGCCACGTTTCACATGAGTCCACTCATGTGAGTGTATAGAGTAGGGAAATCTTTGGAGGCAGAAAGTAAGTTAGTGGTTAAGCCTAGGAGGATTCGGGAACCAGAGAGGTGATAGCACAAGTATATAAAATTCCTTTTTGAGATAATGAAAACTGTCTCAAATGAACATATCTGTGAATATGCTAAAAATTGAGTTATACAGTTTAAAAGGGTGCATTGCATGGTGTTTGAATTATAAGAAGTTAATAAAGCTGTTATCCAAAACAAAAAGTTACCTAAGAGATAGTTGCCAATATCTAGGTAGCAAGCAACGATGAGCCAACGCTCTACATTATACATAGAACAGAGGATGGTTCTAACTTGCCCTAGGTAATGTAGAATAAACTCAAGATGAATGAGCAGCATGTTGGTACGTTGACTAGTTATTAATTACTGGCTAAAAGGCTTGGGGGGAAGGGAGACATTGGATGTATCACTCAAATGTGCCCTGACATAAGCCACATGGGTAGAGAAAGAGGATCAAAAGGGAGAAAGGAAAACACAGCTGAGATAGCATCACACTCACCCCCTCTTCAGCGTTTCCTAAAGTCCTCTCTGTGTCTGCGCCGGGACAAGGCTGGCAGTGCCATCTGAGTGGGGTGCCCCATCCTAGCCCTGTCTCCCTTCTTCCCTTCTCTTCAAGCCTGCCTTGGACTGAATTCTCCCAGCCACAAACACACAGTGTGCAGATTGAATGCCCCCCCGCGCGCCGAGACTGGTACCAGTGGGACTTTCCTGGAACCCTGTGACTCAACTTGGCTACTAGGAGACCTTCTTCAGAGGCCAGAGTTCCGACTGGCCGGGATGGTGTTCCTTTCACTGGACAGTGAGAGATTCGGCTGCAAACATGGCGCGGGCACTCTCACCTGAAATGATTCAAATTGTTTATCACGGTGGTCCTGAAAAATATATTTGCCCAGGGCCTTTCATACCCTGTGGAGCCCTGGCAATTTACTGGTTACATGTTGGCCTTTGAGCTATTTACATGGTCAGCAGTTCAAACCCACCAGCTGTGGGGGAAAGATGGTGCTTTCTACTCCAGTAAAGAGTTTGTTTGGAAACTCACAGGGGTAGTTCTACTCGGCCCCGGAGGGTTGCTGTAAGTCTACATCGACTCGATGGCGGTGAGGTTTTTGTTTCTTCATTCCCTAAAATCTGCTTCGAATGACAGATCAGTCCAGTTGCCTGCAGTGGGAAACGAGGAAAAGCTCTCCCCAACTTTAAAAATACCAGTGAGAGAAGGGGAGAGCTTTTCCTCCCCATGGCCCTGTCAGTCAGAGCCTATAACCCCTCCCTCTCTGAATCCTTTCATCAACCCCCCTGCCTGGCATCCGAAGGTGCTATGATTTGGTTGAGGCCCCATTAGGGATGGGTAGTTTTGCTTACGTGGGAGGTGGGCAGAAGCTGCTGCTATTTATGTACTGGGTGTTTGTGTGACAAATTTTCTTCTAAGTTTTATTTGCTTTGATGCTGTCGAGAATACAGGCAGCACAACCAACATGCGCCAACTCAACATTCCTACATGCATAATTTAGTGACATCGATCACGTTCTTTGATTTGTCATTCTCATCCTCCTTTTTTTCAGTTCTTCTCCCCTCCCTTGAACATAAACCCACTGCTCTCTAAAGATCCTGTCCACTCTTCCCGTGGTTATTGTCATTTGACAGAGAGGATTTTTTACAGAGTGCAGATCTCTTTTCACTGCTTAAGCTAAATTATTGTTCAGTTTTAAGATGGCTTCAGGGGAATATTTCTGGTTGAAGGCCGACCCACAGCACACGGGCACCCACACATGAGGACCTGAGGCCAGGGAGCAAGCAGCATGGCCTGAGCCCAGAGCAGGGTTAAAAAAAGAGAGGAGCTGATACCAAGGGCTCAAGTAGAAAGAAGATACTTTGAAAACAATGATGGCAACATATGTACAAATGTGCTCGACACGATGTATGGATGGAATGTGATAGGAGTTGTACAAGCCCCCAATAAAATGATTTTAAGAAGAGAGAGAGAGAGAGGAGAGAATCCTCTCCAACCTGCCAGTGACCGGGAGCGGGGGTCCAAGAGACCACCTTCCCACCACCAGAGTATTTTTAAACTTCTAGCTGGGGAGGTGTGGTGTTATTGGTTGACCTGGTTGAATTAAGCCCACCTGGTTGGGGTCATGAACCTGGGCTAGTTTGGATTGCCCAGGTGTGATGTCATCTGGCTTGGGCTGGGTGAGGTGGGGCCGAATTAGAGCATGCCCAGTTAATGTCCTTATAGGTGTTTAATGCTCACCTGGTTCCTTCCCAACCTCCTCTATGGGGGTCTGAGCAGGCATGGGAGAGACAACCCCCTGTCCCTGTCTTGGCTACCTAACAATGTTCTAGTTAATAGCCACAATTTTACTTCACTGGTTTCTAATATCCATTGCAATGGCTACAGAGAACTCACAGACAAAATTCATGATTGGAGTGTTTAAGGAGGTTGTTTAGCTGTAAGACCAGTGAGAAATGCTCAGGGTAGTTGTTTTCTAGGACATGTTACAGTTTCTCAGGGCCTTGAGCTCAAGTTCCCTGGGTCAGACACCCAGCTTCCTGAATTAGGGCGCCCCCTCCAGTAAACCTGAATTAAGTCACCCCCTCCAGTAAACCTCAGCCAGAAGCTCCACTTCTGTGGTCAAGTCCAACCTCCCCAATTAAGTACCCAGAGGTACCCTACTCCCCAAGCTATTCTCCTGCACAAAAGCACTAATCATAACTTGCTCCGTGGGTTGGGAAATCCATCACTCTGTTCCCCTGTTCCAATTTCTGCTTCTATTGCTGAGACATTTAACTTTGGATATATAACTGCCATCTGAATCCAGGAAGTATACTGTGCAGGGATCTCAGGCCAGAAGACACCCTTTACTCCTGGCTCTTACTGAGCTCTTACTGAGCCAGAAGATCTTTCCTCCTGCCTCTCAGAAGGCTCATTTTATACCTAGCAGGACAAGACACCAGAACATCGGGTTCACAATTATGCACAGGTGAATCCTACTGCTCTCTTCCCCCACAGTCTTACCAGACCCATGCAGGGAAAGGTCATTGGGTGGGAGTTAGAGACTTTGGCTAGAAGAACCACCTTAAATAAATTCACTTCTCCTTCATCTAGGACAAGCCAGGAGGTCAAAGCTTCCATGAGATCCCAGTGCTGGAGGCATGTGGGTGATCCCAGCCTCTGCTCTCTGAAGTGCAAGACGGCTTGGTACTGATGAACCAGGATGGGAACGCAAGATGTTTCAGTCCTCATCATGCCCCCTGTGTTGCGTACCACTCCTGCCTGTCCCACTTTTCTCTCAGGCTGTCCTCATTGCCTTCAGTATTAAAAGGAAGAGGTACAAATGGCCATGGGTTGTACCAGCTCTGGCCCAGTCACCGCCCCATTCACCTAAGGTGTGTGGGGAGCCAAGAGGAGTACCCAGCTCTCTCCAATCAGCAACATGAAAGGAGTTGTTTGGCTGTTAGCTGGCCCAGGGGTAAATTATCCTTACTGATTATTGGGCGGGAGCTTTCCAAGTACTATGGTCCAAACAATTTAGCTCCAGCAAGCAGAGAATTTGCTTGGGGTCTGCTTCCTGATTTTCCTACTGAAAAATTTGTTTGAGATACACAGGCAGGTATGTTCAGCCCACTTAGCTACCATTTCCTCGTCGATCCAAGACTGCAATGTCTCTTTCACCCACACTTTCTGGCTGCTTTGTTGGAGAGGGAACAAGCAGCACATCTACTACATCCTCGTTACTTCCCTCATTACAGGGAGGCACTGAGAGCAGGTAACTTCTTACCTGATTGCTAATAATTTGGCTCTCCAACCCTCTACAGCCATTTGAGATTTCATGTAGGAGTTGATGGTGTGGCAACTATTGTTTTCTCACAAGACAAGACAGATTCAATGTTATAGAGCAGTTTATCGCATTGGGTCATACTTTTTTATGATTAATTTTTGGTTTCAGGAATAAAAAAGCTTTAAAGTCAGATGATGATGCCTGGGATTAATTTTCCCATTTAACAGGAATTTCGTTGTTAAAACTAAAATGATTCACCATGTCGTTATCTGTCCATTGAAGGCAGGTGCTCTTCAGGGATGCGTGGATTACATCATTAGTCAACTTCCCTGGTCCTCTTCGTCTTGACTTAAGCTGTAGGTTGTTTTCACATACTTTGGTCTCCCTTCATATCTTTTACCTACTCGGCAGGATCAGGGTGAACAAACCTGATTTGTCTAGCTCTGCCCTTCTCCATTGTTCTTAATGCTTAGTTTCAATCAGTATGATGCTGTGTAGTCATACATATGGAAAGGGATACCTGAACACAAATGATTGTAATGGTGACGTTTTGTCTAAGGAAAGGGAGAATTCATGCTGAGTTGTGTTTGGGAAAACGTCTGCTGGATAGAGCTTCAGTTAGAATAGAAGGCATCTGCGTCGTCACTTGTTTTTATGTGCCACTTTGTTTGGTGCTGTCTAGGCCATCCACAATTTTATGGGCATATTATTATCTCTGCAGGTCTATCCAGATAAGATGGGTTGGATAAATAATGTGGAGAAGAAAACAATGACACTGATGGATGGTTCCGGGGGGACATGGAAGAGTGGGAGGTGGGGGGATGGAAGAGGTGTTAACCAACCCAGGGACAAGGGAACGATGAGTGATTCAAAACCAGTGGCAAGGAGGGAGTGTGAGGACTGGTAGGGAGTGATCAAGGGCAATGTAACCGAGAGGAATTACTGAAACCCAAATGAAAGCTGAGCATGATAGTGGGACAAGAAGAAAGCAAAAGGAAATAGAGGAAAGAAGTAGGAGGCAGGGGCATACATAGAGGCCTAAATACAGGCATGTACATATGTAAATAGATTTATGATTATGGTGGAAATAGATCTATGTGCCTATATTTATAGATTTAGTAGTAGGGTGGCAGATGGACATTGAGCCTCCACTCACATACTCCCTCAATACAAGAACACTAAGATCAACTAACGGTCATTCCATGAAACCCATCTTCCCGACAAACGTGTGCATAAGCAAATGTGAAGAAAGCTAATGGTGCCTGGCTATCAAAAGATATAGTGTCTGAGGTTGTAAAGGCTTGAAGTTAAACAAGTGGCCATCTAGCTCAGAAGCAACAAAGCCCACATGTAAGAAGCACACCAGCCTGTGTGATCACGAGGGGTCGAAGGGACCAGGTATCAACCACCAAAGAATAAAAAAATTGTATCTTTGTGAATGAGGAGGAGTGTGGGAGGGGACCCAATGTCCATCTGTAGACAACTGGACATCCCTTGAAGATGGGTAGTGGGGAGGAGATGAGTCACTCGGGGTACAGTATAGTATCGATGAAATACACAACTTTCCTCTAGTTCTTAAATGCTTCCTCCCCCACGACCCCACTATCATGATCCCAATTCTACCTTACAAACCTGGTTAGATCAGAGGATGTACAGTGGTACAGATAGGAACTAGAAACACAGGGAATCCTGGACAGATGAACCCTTCAGGACCAGTGGTGAGAGTGGTGATATCGGTAGGGGGGTGGGGGAGGAATAGGGGGGTTGAAAGGAGGAACCGATTACAAGGATCTACATATAA